CGTGGTCCCCGTATTCGTGGAGCCTACAATTAGCTGAGGATCAGTGAGAGATTGTTGGGCCTGGGCCTGGGCCTGAGCCTGCGCCTTGTGCGCCGCCTCCACAATCGCACTGATCGTCAGTCCGTTTTTGCCCGCCACAATTGTGGTGGTCTTGGTGGTGGTAGCTGCTCCCGTCATCGCTTGCGGTGCCACTGTTGCCGTCGTCTTCTGTATCAGAATAGGCAATCCGTTGACATGCGGCGGCGGCGTTAGCTTGGCTTGCTTGTTATCACCGCATCCAGAAGCAGTTGCTGCGGCGGCTGATCACTGTAGCTGCGTTTCAACTGACGGTCATCCCCGATGGCTGCCTCCTGGTTCTGTCCACTCTTCTTTCGATCCTTCCGCGTGTTCTTGACGACAACATGGTTCTTGCCACGCAATCGGATCTGTAGGGCGGCACACGCGGCTCGTTGAGACCAGGAACAGGCTGTGCTTGCTGCTGTTGTTGGAAGTTCGTATAGACCGAATGATGTTGTTTGTCTGCTGAACAGACTGCTGTTTTGTTGCTTGTTGCTGTTGCTGAATCTGAGTTGGTTGCTGCACCTGCTGCTGAATCTGAGCTTGTTGTGTCAGTGGCTGCTGCTGCTGCGTGGGCAACGTGAGAAGTTGTGTCTGCAGTGGCAATTGTTGCATGTGGTTGTTTGCAACCATGGGTGACTGCTGCTGCTGTTGCTGATTCACTATAATCTGCCCTTCGTATCCCGCCCCCGCTGCCGGCACCGTGTCCACCTTGTCCAGCTTCAGTCGCAGCTTGATCTTTCCTCGGCCGCCTTCGTCTTGGCATTACCCTTCGCACGCTCTCGCTTCGGCTTCGGCGTCGCAGGATCCTTGGCCTTACGCTCCTTGACCCCTTGTTGTAGCTTCTCCGAGAAGATTTGGCTTGGCCTTCTTATTTGCTGCTCCTCCGGCAGCTCCTGCATTGCCGCTGGTCATCGATTGGGGCGAGTTTAAGCCAATCAGCGGAGAACTGTTGCTAGAACGTGGCGAATTCTCTCCGGCAAGCAAGTTGGCGTGGTTTGCCTTCGAGACAGGCGTCTTTCTGGCCCTGCTCGACGCTGCTGATTTATTGGAGGCCAAGGAGTCCCGTGACCTCTCCTGGTCGCTGCTAATGCCCATCGGCAGCTGCTGCGCCGAATTCGAGTCCTCCTCGGAGAAGAGATTGTTGGGCAGGGACATGTCGTTGGCCGGATTAAAGTTAAAGTTGCCCAGGCCACTGCTGGACATGCCGCCGCTGGTGCGGAATGGCATCTGTGCTGTTTCCTGTTCGGCCTCGGTGTCACTGTCATCGCTAGCCATGGGCTCCATGTCGCCGGTGTGTGGATTTATAATGAATTGCTTTTGGGGCGGCCTTTGCTGGTGTTGCACTTGCAACTGCTGCTGCTGTTGGCGTTGCACCATCTGTAGCTGTTGTTGTTGTTGCTGCTGCTGCTGTTGTAGTTGCATCTGCCTCTGCATTTGCTGCTGGTTTTGGCGCTGCTGCAACTGAGCAGGAATTTGCAGTTGCTGTCTCTGCTGCTGTTGCTGTTGCATTATCATTTGCTGCTGCATCTGTTGTTGCTGCTGCTGTTGTTGCTGTTGGAAAGGCATTTGCAGCATTTGTTGTGTCTGCATCACCGTTTGCTGCTGCTGCTGTTGTTCCATTGGCGCTTCCTGCAGCGTGCTGAGTGCGTCACCCACATCCATGCCCACCGCCGATAGATTGTCCTCGATCAGATCCAGGTCCAGGTCCTTTGCATCCTGCAGGAGCGATTCGAGCTCGTTTTTATCTTCAAGACTGAGCGTCGAGTCCAGATCACAGTTGAGAGTAGGCAACAGGGCGTCCAGGTCGTTGGTAGTGAGGGCATCCAGCACGGACAGCGATATCAGAGAATCCACTGACCCTGAGCCTGGCCCGTAGTCTGTTGCTGTTGTTGTCCCTGCATTGGCAGTTGCTGCTGCTGCGTCGGCTGCGGCGGAGGCGGCAGTTGTTGCTGCGCCTGTGGCTGCTGCTGCTGTTGTTGTTGACCCGGCAGGTTGACTTGCTGCTGCTGCTGCTGAAGATTGTACTGCATCTGGTAGCGCGTGAACTCCTGGAAACTGCTTTTGGCCGAATCCATAGGCTTATTGATACCGGCGAGTGGCCAGCGCGAGTTGGCTGCCGCCTGGTTGTAGTCCGGCGGCGGCGCTGCAGGTACATGGTGAGCGGTAAGCTCGCTGGGTGCGGATGATCCCGGCGCAGGGGCAGGCGACATCATTTGCGTTTGCTGTTGCTGTGCCATCAGCGGACTGTGCATCGAATGGTGACTGGAGGCGGGCGAAAGTGCGGGTCCCAGGGGTGATGCTCCGCTCATAAACTGTTGCTGCTGCTGCGGTGAGGCCTGTGGCATTTGCAGGCTCATCATGCGCTGCTGCTGCGGATGAGGTGGCGGTGGCGCCAAAGGCAGTCCGCCAGGCCGCAGTTGCTGTTGTTGCTGTCTCAGCTGTTGCTGCTGCTGTTGCAAGGGACTCATGCCCATGTTATTGAAGCAATCTGTCGGGCAAAAGCAAGCAAATTAATACGGACTCCTTACGAATAGAGACAGAGCTAAGACACTTACCAGGCGCAGGCTGAAATTGCTGCTGCTGCTGTTGCTGCTGCGGTGACATGAATCGCAGCTGCTGCTGTTGTTGTTGCTGCTGCTGTCGTTGCAATTGTTGCTGACGCAAGGCCACGGCCTGCGGAGACATTTGCTGCTGCTGAAAGCGATGCGGGGGAGGAGCCTGCTGCTGCTGCGGTTGCTGCTGCTGAGTATACAAATGATTGCCATTGCCGCTGGACTGAGCATAGCCTGCTGCTGTTGCTGCTGCATACTCCGCATCACTACGGGCGGCGGGCAAGGAGGAGCCGCCGCCGCCTGAGGCGTTGTTGGGGAGGAAGGCACCACTGGACTCAGCACATCGCCCATGAGGAAATCACTGGGCGTCGCCGGACCGGAGGAACGCATCGGGGAGTTCATCATCTGCGCTCCACTCGGACTCATACCGATCAGCGGCGACTGCTGCTGTTGCTGCTGCGGAGACTTGAGCTGGTTCGGGATTCCGACATGGCATTGCCGTCGTTCTGCAGTAGATTCACCAGCAGCGGCGACGATATGGCAATGTTATTGCTGCCCGTCGACGTGGCCGTGGGCAGCGGGTGCGGCTGATGCGGATGGGGTTGCTGCGTATGCGGAGTTGATGTTGATGCGGATGAGGATGGGGCAGGGGGCTGGAGACGGGCACAATCGCAGGCTTGGCACTTGCACCCGCTATGGCAATGGATGAACTGCCGCTGGCAGCTGCGGTATTCGCAGCGGCCCCCGTGGCAACTCCCAATCCCGGATATGGCGGCGGTGGTGGCTGGATGAATTGAGATTTGCTGCCTGGCGCCGTCGCCGACGTCGTCGTCGTTGGCGTTGTCGGTGTAAGTTCGCCATTCTGTGACGTCTGCGGCGAATTCTTCAGCACCTTTAGCGTCACGTTGGGCGGCGGTGGCGGACCCAGGCCGCCCGCCTCCCGACCTTGCAGAACTCGCGCCTGCCGCATGCTCTCAAAGGGAAAGTCTCGCGGCACACCCGCCGTTCCAGAAGGCGAGGGCAGCAGCAACGGCACCTTCCCCTCCATCGGGCACACCGTGTTGGGGGATTTGAACACCGGCGGCGTTTGCTGAGCTCCCGGAACCTGCTGCTGCTGCTGAAGCTGGAGCTGCTGCTGTTGTTGCGGAGGCATCTTTTGCAGAGCCGCTCTCCTTTGCTGGGAGTGAGATTGCATCGTTGGAAACATTCTGCGGCAGTTGCACAATCCGCGCTGCTGCTGTTGTTGCATGTAGGCGGAGGCCGCCTTGCTGGTGCTGGGCCATCGAAACCCGAGGTCAGAGCCACCAGACTACTCTTGTTGCCGGAAGACGAGCCAGCCGCCTCAAGTGTCTCGTTTACATTATCTGAGGGCAGGGTAAGGAGTCGGTTATAGAGGAAGAAAGAAGATTATGACAGAGAACTCACCCTTGGTTATCTAATATCTTGTCCTCCAACTTTCAAAGTTATCACAGAATCGCCCTCGAACTGCACGGACTGAATGTTGAGGGCGCGCAGCTCGGGATTGCCCTCGGCGGCCAGTTGGCGCAGCCGTTGCGCTGCATCCCAGGGGAGCGACACCAATATCCGCACCAGTGACGGTTCAAGCTGCTGCAATGGCCCAAAAACGTTGGTCATTTCGCATTTTAAGGCATTTAATTAACATTTAAGGAGCCCGCAAGAAGAGGAAGAATAGCTAGTGAAATTGTCTAAAGATGAGACACATTTTATCGATATATCGAAACTATCTACAGCTGCTGCAGCCCTGGCGTACACACACACACAAACGCACCGAGTAGTTTATTGGAAAGCACATTGATACAGCTAAACAACTCATTTATCATTATTAAAACTAGTCGTAATTTAAACTGGAGGATATAAGCTTTGCCCGCCTTATAGGTTTTGTCTGTTTTTAATTCCTGTTTCCTGTTTTGGGCGGCTGCCTCTGGGCTCTGTGTGTTGCGTGCGTGAGCGAGATGGCTATAGGGGACTCATTGGAAATTCCAACAACAATTGTTCAACACAGGCAATAATCTATGCGTTCAGCTTGAAGCAGCCAAAAATTAAGTAACCATAGCGCTTTCAGCTGACTGCATTTCCACGCGCGGCAAGTGGATAGTGTGTTGGGGGGTTGGGGTGCCCACAGGTTGCATTTTCACATGCGTGCGTGCGTTTTCATATGCCTTTTTTTTGTTATCGATACCCCGACGTCGTCGCCATTTTTCTTCTTGGCCTCTTGGAAGGGTGTGCGCGAGTGTGTGTGACTGTGTGGCCAGAGAGTGTGCCTGTGTTTGTGTGAGTGTGGCAGAGGGAAAAGGTAACCAAAATACTTGCCCAGAATTAAGGCGGGGGTAACAAAGGGGCGGGTCGATTAATAAAATCACAAAAATGGAACAAGAAAAGAAACACACAGTTGATGAATGCATGCATGTTTTGAAATGGGTAACTGATGCTGTTTTTGTTGCTCGTGTTGTGGTTTTGGTGGGAGAGAGATTGCGTGGGTGACGCAAGTGTTCAATGGGTGACCGCCGACCCTTCAACCCCCCGCCGCAATCACACTCCAAGCCCCCACCACACTCCCACGCTCCGTGGATGGGACGTGAAGTGCAATAATCGCAGATCAGCTGTTCGGCAGAAAAACGTCGAGAAAGGGCAAGAAAAGGGCCACCGAGAAAAGCGCGACTTAACAACTAACTCACCTGTTTAAGTGGCATATCATCACACGACAATCGCACGCGTCGTAGATTTAATTGGTAGAACGCTGCTCAATTCTCGCATTTAGCTTTATGTCCCCGCCGCTCGGGGAAATCGGTGGCAGATGATTCAGGTGGCGTCCTTTGCGTTTAAACAATTGCATGTTTGCATTACACACGAGATTATTTGTATTTTTCGGGAATGGAATTGTTTTCGATCCGATCCGACGATATGGGATCCACCGTACATGTATTTGTATGTGCACCTGGGCTCACTCGCTAGTTTTTAACCTCTGCGACTTTGTTTTTGGGCATTTTCCACCGCTGCCACTTTTTTCTTTTCCTTTTTACTTTTTTTTTTTAGTAGTAGCCTCACTAACACTCTTGCACACACGGGCACACACCACACACACACAGTGACAACGTGCGGGGCGCGGGCAGGGCTCCGCTGCTGCTGCTTTGCTTATTCGGATACGGATTTTCCTGCGTCACTTTTCAGGCGCTCTTGTTGCCACAATCGCGCTTCCCCGCTGGCTGTACATTGTTCAGGGGCTAATTAATAGGGCTCTCGCACTTATTGCGCCCTCACTGTTCTCCATTTCACGCACAGCAGCCCAATAATATTGCTTTTCACAGGCGCTCGAAAATTTTTCTCGCATTTGGGCAGCCAATTCGGGGCATAATTTCACACGGTTCGCGTGCGCTGAACACTCGGTGGACGCACTCGGTTGTGGCGGAAGGTTCGCGGTTGATTTTCAGCCTATTGCTGTCGCTGGGGCGATGTGTTTTTCCTGTTTATTTTGTACAAAAACTTTGAAATTCCACGAACAATTACAATAACAACCGCCATTTGCATTCAGTGGTAGCCATTTTTATTTTCCAGCCGGTGTTGCCAGTCGGTCGCGTGCGGTAATATACTAAATTTTGCCGTATTCACTTTTTCCAGGGCTGCCTGATCGCTGGTGTTGACCAACACAGGTCCAAATTGCGAACTCTGGTAGCGCTGGTTATTGAGAGTTTCAAATATATTTATTGGGCATTTATTTGGGCTTTCCTTCACATTTCGCCGAACATAAAAAATTTAAAATTCAGTAAGAAATTTTAACAGATACGTGAGAAACTGGAGAGGAACCACATTCAATGCGATATCTGACAAAGTCTGGCAACAACTTTTATTGATATTTTAGCGTTGTGCCCGCATGTATGAATAGTATCGCATACATTTCGATATTTTGGTATCGATATCGACTACTTCGATGTTTTTTCGATCTACTCATCCCTAAGACACAAATTATTTTCTGCAAATGTGAGTACATAACTTTACCTTTTTAAACAATTTGCAATCTTGTTCGGGAATAATACAAGTACTTATTCAAGTTTAGTTAAGCCCCTAGAGATACTTGATAAGTGCTGACGGCAATCCTACGCTTAGCCCTGCTCTAAACCAACCCCCTTCAAGCACCTTACGTAACTGCTGCAATTCTCACATCATTTTTCGTTTTTTCCCACAGCAGCGACATGGCCAACACTCCAGCAACCTCCAGCAGCTCCGGACCCGTGCTCCGCGGCCTCCACAACGCCTCCATCAAGCGCAACCTGGCGATCTCCCTTGGCCTGACTGCCATCGTGACTGTTGCCTTCAAGCTCTTCGTCAACGATCCCAAGAAGGCCGCCTATGCCGACTTCTACTCGTAATTATTGTTGTCCTATGGTCTAAAAATCTTATACTGATGGTTTGCCTTGCAGGAAGTACGATGCTAATAAGTCCTTCGAGCGCATGAAGGCTGCCGGCCGTTTCCAGTCCTGCTAGGAACCCCAAGCACCATGTAGTCTAAGTCAAAAGATGTTGCTAGAACAAGTGTTACGCTTCTGTATTGAAAACTAAATAGATTTCAGTCTACGTATGTGCACGAAGCTGTTTTAATGTTGACTGTGAATTCTACAAATATCAGGGGAATCCGCTGAGAAGATTTTATTGTGGAATATGTATGTGAGGATTTATTTACTTGCAACGTAAAATTCGAAATTCTTACTTCAAAAATTGTAACCATTCAGATATGAATATAATTTATATTTAATTGGTTTATTCCCTTATTTTACGACTTATAATCGAAGTTCAAGGCTTTGTTGATATATTAGTCCTATGAAATTACCATGAATTGAGACAGCGCAGACTTTATTATTAATTTCTTTATTTTTTATTCGATATTTACAAACTTATAGAAATAATGCACATAACAAACACAAAACTGCGCCACGCAAATCATCAGTTATGTTGATGATTTGTTTGGTTCGCTAAACACATCTAAAACCTAATGGCAAAGTCCTTGTAGTCCAGTCGGCTGAGGTTGCCTTGGTTTCGGATTTCGCAACGCTCGATTTGGCAGCCGGGAGAACCTTCGCTGGACAGCCAGGTGATCCTGCGGAATGGATATCTTAAAATGATAGCTCTGAGATCTCTGCAGTACCCACATTTTGTCCACCTCCTCCTTGGGACCCTGCATTTTGCCGACAATGGTGCCCTGCTTGCTGTTCTTTACCCATCCCGTGATGCCCGCCTTGGTGCAGCGATCCCGGGTATCTTTCGTGAGATTCAGGCCTGACGGATGATCATCAGAGTGATATATATGTTCATATTATATTATTTAGTCTAGCGAAAGTGGAATGGGGCGTGAAACCAAGTCAAGGACAGGTGGGGGACCCAAAGTAACTAGCTAGCCAGCTACTGTGGGTTTTATTTTTAGCCCTAGGAAACTAGTTGCCTTGGGTTCTAGACCCATGCTCCTTGATCCTCAAACTGTTCGCACCTTGTACATGACCGTAGACCTCGAACTCCAGCGTCACCAGCAGCCGGATGTCAGGAATGCCCATTTCGATTACCAAATGCTAACTTTTGGTTATGTAAATTTCACTGAAACTTTTTTAACTTTCTTTGTTTAGTTTTTTATCACTTATATTTTGATTATTGCCTATGTGGAGGAGGGTTAATAATTTTCCCAGACACTGGAATCCTTATTTAAATTTAAACTATTCGTTTTCTAACGGAAAATTCGCGGCGCTCGCGATTTGGATATTCAGCAAACCGTCGCAAAATTCAAACTAAAATGCCAAGTTCCTACAAATTGGCGCTCCGCTAGCATATCAATTGCTTTCTATTTTGCGTTTTCGATTTGTATTTGCGTATTTATTTTAGCCGTCCGATGCATTCTGTCTCTTGCTATTAGTTGTTGCTACTGCTTCTCTCGCTTTTCTTGTTATTTTTTTAAATATAAAAATAAAGAAAGAAAGGAATGATATACGAATCTTATGGTTTTTCAAGTATCCCATTTGTGGATGCACTACAATAAGGTTTTTTTAAGGACATTGGCCGGATCGATCAACTATAACATATAGCTGCCATAGGAACGATCAAAAAAATTTTACAAAACACAATATAATTGCTCAAGTTTTTATCATATTTTTATCTAATTTAAGATAACTATATTTTGTTATTTTTTATAATTTCGGTTTTAATTTTGTTAAGATCGGACGACTATATTATAAAGTTGCCATAGCAACGATCGGAAAATTTTTAAAAACACTATATAATTATTCCAGTTTTTATCATATTTTTATCTAATTTAAGATAACAATATTTTGTATTATTCTATAATTTCAGTATTAATTTTATTAAGATCGGACGACTATATCATATAGCTGGCATAGAAACGATCGTTAAATGTATGTCGCTCCCGCTCTGTGCATCTCTAGAGATTTCTTTCCCTCTATGTTTCTTTAGCTCCAGAGACAGCTCTTACTCCCTTGCTCTCTCGCTCTCTCCCGCTCTAACTTTCTTTGCTCTCCTTACTCGGAGACTATAAACACGGTCACTGCTGGCGAGCTGGCCTGTTTCTTTAGCTCCAGAGACAGCTCTTACTCTCTTGCTCTCTCGCTCTCTCCCGCTCTAACTTTCTTTGCTCTCCTTACTCGGAGACTATAAATACTGTCACTGCTGGCGAGCCGGCCTCAGTCTGTCCGTGGCCGCCCCGCTGTTAACATCTACTGTGCTTGTGGTCATGATACTGTTTGCCCTTCGACTTCGGAAATATCATCTGAGCAATGCTATGGATCTGGATAACCAGGAAGAAGCGAACTTCGATGATGTCATCAAAAGTCTACTTGAAAGCACCAAGAAGACAACTTTACACTGGAAGGAATTACGCAAATGACGAAAAAGGTTAACCGTGTGTCCTTTACTGGGGTAAGTCTTATCCATGCAAATTATAATACAAGTATGAATACATATATTAGGGATCAGGTCTAGATTAACAATCAGATGTGCTAGCTATACATGTGGATATCTACAAAGGTAAACTAAAAGTTAAAAGTCCAACTTAATTGAATTGAATATTGATTTTTTACACTTATGATATTTTCATAAATGATCCTGACTTTGGGGTTAATTTTTGCTACATTATTTACCTTTGCAAGGTTTTATAATTTCAGTCGGAAGCTTAAAAACCTGTAAAGTAGTTATTTCCGACCCTGTAAACCATATATTTTTTTGGTCAGCATCGACAGCCGAGTAGATCTATCCACTTCCGGTTAAAATATAATTTTTTGACATTTTTTCAATTTTCGAAGAAAAAGATTTACAAGGTTACATCATTAAAATTTTCAAAAAATTTGGAAAAAAAATGTAATTAAAAAAAAAATTAAAATGAGTATGAGTATGCAGATTTATAAACCCAAAAAAACCAACATAGGAACGGTTTCTGAATTCAAATTAATGCCCTTTTGGCTAAGTTATGAGTTTTTTAAACTTTGGTTTGTCTAAAATTAAAATTAATTAAAAAAAAAATTAAAATGAGTATGCAGATTTATAAACCCAAAAAAACCAACATAGGAACGGTTTCTGAATTCAAATTAATGCCCTTTTGGCTAAGTTATAAGTTTTTTAAACTTTGGTTTGTCTAAAAAAACAGTCATATAAAAAAATAGATAAGTATCGACTCAAAAAATGGTGGAGTCATTTCCGACCCCATATATTATGGATCTGCATAAACAGCGGAATCGATCTAGCCACGTCCAGTTAAAATATAAATTTTCCTCTTTTATTTAATATGTTCTAAAGAAGATAAAGTCGTTAAAATTTTAAAAAATTGCCTAAAAATTTGTTGTTTAACATTTTAAAACTCAGTATGCAGATTTGTTAGACCTATAAAATCTAAAACAATAACGTTTTCTATTTTTAAATTAATGCATATTTTAGTTATGACATTTGAAAAACTTGGATCTACCCTAAAAATTAGCATGTAAAAAAGCTACCTAATATTCCTATTCACATATTTAAGGTTTTCTTGTACGAAGCCCGAAAAGACAAAAATCATATAAACCTCTATGTGCAATCAAAATTGTACTCAATAAAGAAAAATATTTGAAAAAATAAGTCAAAAAATATTTAACTGAATTTTTTGTTAAGTTTTGTAAGGGGAACCGTTACAACTGTACAAAATTTAAATTAAAGTTCAATCCAAAATCAATTACACAGTTTAGTTTCTCAAAGGTTGCTTCATTTCTTGTTAATATATAAATAATACATTTTTATCTTAGTTGAATCGTTCTTAAAAATTAGACGTACCCTTTAAAAGATCTTAATCAGTCTCTACTATTATTTATTTATTTCCCAAGTGCGCTGTCTCATGCCAGACATCCCCTACAGGTGGCTCTTATCTTTGTATTATATATTTCGGTGAATATTTCTCAATTTAGCCACAAATTTGGCATTTTATTTGGCTGTAGAAAATGTACTGACCCAGAACAATGCAGAGACATTGTTTCTGCCCCCTAGATTTCGCTTTCGCTATATAAAAATCAGCTTTTTGTGCGATGCCAGGAATGACAAGTTCACAGCAGGCGTGCTCGCTGAGCCATGAGACTTTTATAAGGCGAGACGACACAAGTATATTATTATCTGATTTGTATATTTTTCAATTCGATGAAAGGGAAATTTAATTTTTCAATGCAAAAATTTCTAGTATTTACGAGTGTTGTCCCTGACTAGCTATTTATCCTCTGATACTCAGATAAGATACATAGATCAAAATAGACAAAGCGGAAAAAACAGAAGATAAATATAGAAAGAGTTTTCACTTCCCTTGCATTTTATCTGAAAAAAAACCCTCAGTTAGAATAGGTTTTATGGTATTTACAAACTTTTATTAATTTATATTCTTGCGATATATGAAAATATCAATGTACAATGTTTATACTCGTATTGTTTATTAACTTAACTAACTGTGTGAGTGTGAGGGGGGTGAGTGTGCCTTCGCCACCAGGTTAAAAAAGTTGATACGTAAACCTGTTGCGGAAAATGCAAATATAATTCTTACGGCCTAAGATCGTTCTGTACAGGTCTAGGTATTATGGAACTACTACACCGGGAGACTTCAGGGGTAATGGCTAAACATCGGACTCTTAAGTAAGATTAGGCTTAGGCGATTAGAACTAGGTTAACATCTAGACATAGAAACGATTTAACGGGCACCAATGATCCAGGATCCCTATACGATCTGCACCGCGGAATGTGGCCTCTCGATGAGGCTGCTCTGTGCCTCCTTGTCCTTCTCCGCATGCCGTCCCAGCGAGGCGTGCTCCGGCTTCAGATAGTAATGGGGTGGCGGTGGCGACAAAGGTGGAACCTTCGAGGACTCCGCAAAATGGGCACTCTTCTTCCGACGTTCGCGGAGGAAGTGCAGCCGCACATAGTTGATGGGTATATCGACGCTTTCGGCTCCCACGCCCTCTCCATCGATGAATACACCACGCACTAGGATCGAGTTGGAGCACTTGATGGCGGCCAGGAGCAGGAAAGGAATAAGGTGTGTCAGCCAGTAGCTTATGAGCATGTTTTCTGTGGCAATGGGAAAGAAATTGCATTTACTTTCAAAGAGTTTTGTGCTGAACAGAGATAGCCTAAAGTGTGCTATTAAAATTGAATTAAGTTCTTGAATATTTCCTTTTTAAAGATATTTTAATTCTTTACTTATTTCTCTCTCTTTTAAGCCTCACCTGGATATAGATAAACATCGAGCAGATTCCAAATGCCGCGCCAGGCATTCACCGCCCCAAAGAATGTCATCAGATAGTAAATGTCGCAAATTATCAGCTTGAAGATACCGCTTATCCGACGGCACACGTACCGCATCAAGGGATGAATCAGGAAGGTGACAGCCACCGTCAGATAACCAATCAACTGTAAGTACTCTTCGATTATAGACACTTCTTCAGGAGATAATAATACCAAACCTTACCAGCGAACCCCAAGCGGACTTGGCCTTGTCCCGGGGGAACAGAAGAAGATCAAAGATGCCCCAGACACCGCGCCAGGCAATGACCACCAGACTGCCAATGACAAAGACCGAGAAGAGTGTGTCCAACACATACAGGCCAGGTTGATGAAAACCCTACAGAGGATTGGTAATTATTAGAATATTACAGAATTAATTCAAGATAATTCCAAGTTTAAACTTACAGGTATTTTGAACATAGTGTCTACCTCGAAGTAATCGGTTTTGTGGTCCATGGTCACTGTATAAGGGGCAGCACCCAGGTTCCTCAACGTCCGCGTGGCCACCAGAAAGATCAAGGCAATCGCTGTGACCACACAGACTATGATGAGGGAATCCACGCTGGTCAGCCAGTCACAGAGCAGCCATGCACCTCGCCACATATTCACACAGACGATGCCAAAGATGGCCGTATATATCCGCGAAACCGTGTAGTATGTGAGACGCCGCCTATCCGGATGTATGTGCTCCTTGAAAAAGTTCTGCGTAATGGTGAACACAAAGTGACCCACGCCACCAATAAGGAAGCTGGCCATTGCGGACAAAGGCAGACTTTTGGGAAAGAGATACACGCCCATCAGCTCCCAGGTGCCACGCCAGTAGGCAATAACGCAGGGTGCCACCACCAGACAGGAGATCATCACGTCCAGGATCTCGAGCAGGAGTTCATGCAGATCCCTTCGCGGTGTCTCCGCCTCCAGGCGCTTATTGCAGGCAGGTGAGTGTATGTGCTGGGAAAGGTGTGCACTGGTGGGATGCGTTCCAGGATGTGCTGGATGTCCGGCAAGATGCAGATGGTGATGCTGCTGCAGGAGCTGCTGATCCGCGGCCTGGCCATGGCAAAGAGATTTCTGTCCCTGCCGGCTCCCGCTCACTATGATTGGCGTGGGCCCCACCGGCGTGCCCTTGTCCGTGGCCAACATGTCTATCTGCCTGTCTCTCTGTCTTTCGGTCTGTCTGGTTTTAGGTTTGATCTAGGGTCGGGATCCGTCCAATGGGTTCCCTCTTAATTTCGCCTAATTACTGGCAATTGGCACTCCGGATATTTTTAGGCTGGGACTACCTGGGCCCTCCTGCTCACTGCTCGGTCGGTGGCGGCTTTAAAACTGACGGCGACTGTGGTCAGGTAGCATGGGTGCATTCCATAACCGGAGAGAGAGCACATATACGGGTCCTCTCCGGAACCGTCACCGTCGCTGCATCGCCGTTGCGGTGATAATAATCGGGCGCTGATAATTAAACCGTCTATCTGGGGTCTGCTCCTCTCCTCCGCCTGGCCTCAGTTGCATAATCCGCATCCACTGTCACATGTACATCCACATCCAAGTCCGCGTCCACGCCATTTGCCGTCTGAAAGGGTATAGGTATAGGTATATATAAATGCAAAGAACCATTATGAGCTTAAGCTATTAAGCCCGTCTCCTTATCACTTTTGCACTGACTTCAATTCCGGTTATCAATCTTTGCTCTGCGACAAGTCAACAAAAAAAAGAGTCTTAATGAGTGTTTTATAGTTTACTTCTTATTCTTTATAGTCTATAGTTTGGCAGCTGCCTGAGAAGCAGTCTTATCGCCATCAGAGTAACAGACTGACTGTTTCCAGTGAGATCTGGACCTTGGGAACTGTACTTGCCTATGTAGTGTTAATAGTAAGGCAGGTTTAGTATACGGAATCTAAGTGAGAGCCTTACTATCACTAGTCAGCCATTGTCAATTAATTTAATCTGTTTCATAAAACTAGGCACTTCCTTTATAGTATTTAAAACGAATAGGATGTCCCTGATTAAAGAGCCTTTGATTTTGTTAATTAAAAACCGAAATACTTTTTCTAATTGATAAAGAAAAACAAGTATGTAGATTTTTATATTTAAATTTTGAAAATTTTTAAACTTTGATTTGTCTAAAAAATGGTCATAGAATGGTAATATAATATTAGTCAGAAGCTTAAAAACCTGTGAAGCATTCATTTTCAACCGCATAAATCATATATATTCTTGATCAGCATCTACAGGCGAATCTTTCTAGCTTTATCCGACCAAAAAAGAATTTTTTTCAGAAATTTTCCATTTTTTTAAAAAGGGAAGGGGTTACATCATTAAAATGTGCAAAAATCGGCAAAAAATTCACACTTTAAATTGAGTATGCAGTTTTGTTAACCTGCAAAAAATTAACATACGAACGCTTTCAGAATTGAAATTAATGCTTTTAAGCCTTAGTTATGAGTTTACAAATTTTTTTAGTCGACATAATTTTCATATAAAAATATTAATAAATAACATTTACAAAAATGCGAATTTCTTAGGCTTAATTATGAAAAATTTAAATTGCAAATGATAAACATATATACTTCGGTTTCCCTTATTTAATATATTTTCTTGTTCAGTTGATACATGTACATATATTATTATATATATTAATATTGCATTTTTCTCTCGATGCACTATACATCCCCACCTTTAATATTTTCAAAGCAGGTACAGGATGTACCTCATTTGCTAGATAGTTATTGTTATTATGTTTATCATTATTAAAAATACAAAATGATGAATGAAGTACAAGATAACACCTCGTGATTTAAGACAACTGGCCAAGTCCCATAAAAAGCACAAGTGTCAACTGATTTGGCTTAAACAATACAGTCCACATGCCAGTTATAATATAATTTATATACCAGTCATATTATTTAAATCCCACCCAATTGAGATATAAAGATTTCTAAGATTCCAAAAGACATGGTGTCGAAAATTCGGGGAACTTTCCTCCATGTGACTCATTAAAGCATTCCCATGTGCAAATATTTAGGCATTCATAGCAATCTTAACAATGGCAGGCCTGGGAATCCTTTATTGTCTCCAAATTGAAGGGTGTAAAAATATGAAGAACTAAATGCTTATTCCAGATGTCCCACATTTTTATGAAGAGATCACCTGAGAGAGAGGGGCTCTTTTACTGATATCTCAACGTCAACGTGACAATTGTGCGTTGAGTGGCCCGACACTCGACACTTAAGTCCCCTTCGGACTTATCTCAAGTAACTTAATAGATCCAATTGAAGAGCCCACGAGAGGCACAAGTCCAGGAGCAGCTTTGATTAAACGTAACCGCAATCAGTGGAAACAAAAAGCGAAAGTGATCCACTGACAGTGCCAGTGCCCATCGAAAGTGCCGGAGTCTTGAACTTGTGCCACTTGAACTTGTCACTTAAGGGGCCAGGTCAGGGGCATACTCGTGTCCAAGTGGTAGGAAGGGATTCCGGATACGGATTTGGGCTTGGAATTCAATTCCGGGGAGGCCAGGGAATGAGGCAATGCCATAATAGTCAGCAGACACAGTGAGTTTTCGTTTTAAAATAAAAAAAAGTCTTTAAGTTTAAGTGAATTGGTGGGGGTTTTAATTTAATTTAATTGTTGTCACTATTTTGAAGTGTATTTAAGTAAATTATAGGAATTTTTCCCTAACTTTTAAATTTTTTAATTATAATTTTTTTTAAATGCATCAGTTTCTTAGCTAATTTTCTATTTGTATTTCAAAGACTAAATCCCTGAATGATCTATTTCTGTAATGTGAGGCTCTTCTTTGTACTCCGTTTCTAAATTTAAGTGCTGAAATAATTCCCATTTATGTATATATTTTCTGAAAGTCTCTCAATTATAAACTGGCGGTGTCTAATTAGTCTTGGCCCCCTTGGAATTAGTGCAGGATGTTTGTGATTTTCGCGTTTCGCTTGCTTGTCTCTGCGACGGCCAACGCGGCGTATGAGCGATAATTAAACACACAGAACTTGCGCAAGGTCCAAAAGGGGGTACGAGGATGGGTACTCTATTGCTTTTTATATTCTTTTTTTTTTTTGTCGGTTCCCCTGAGATTGCTGTTTGGGTCAAGCGCATTCGCATTTAAAACTGAGTGCTGGATTTACGGGCTAAATGGACAACCCGCTGGGCGCAGCAAGACTTCCTCGTTTTGGGGGATTTCGTTGATGTAGCGATCTAAATTGAGACCAAAGGCAGACACAGATCAGGGTGGGCGGACAGAGAGCGAGAGGGAGAGGGGGATTCCTACTGAATTCAAGTTCAAACTCCCCAAGTGGGCCAAGTGATGGCTGCTGCTGGATGCAAAATGCAAATGCTGGATGCCCCATTTCGCTGCCACATTGTACTCCAATTATGTCGTCTAATTGACAAAGAACGGGTGACAATTCAAATGCCAAATTGGACACGGTGCGACTCTCTCCTCTCCAGTAGTGCTCAGTGCTCAGTGCTCAGTTCTCAATTCGCAAGGTTCTCGACAAAGTCTCTGGACAGCTGCTGTCAGCTAATTAGATTTGCCAACCTATCTGTATCTATATTTGTATCTCTGAGCAAAGATAGATAGCTGGCTGGATAAGGCCAAACATAAAAGTACCTCTCTCCCCTGGCTCACTTTATGATCGTTTATGATAGGCTTGTGATTGCTAATTTGCCTTTTCGACTGATTTGAGAGCGTTTCTAGGCGCGATAATGGCTAGAGTACATCTCTTTACAGCTCGCCTATTGTTCAATATTTACTCGTGTGATTACTAGTCTTTAAGTGCTCGTTTTTTTGTTCGCTGTCATTGTCAAGTCGAATAATCGGTAGATCTAATTTATAAATATTCTGAGAATATGGGCAAACCTTTCGGGTGTATTGATCTTCCTAGCACCTTTGGATTGTAACACTTAAGATCTGAATGGGAGAGTTTTTAGAGTCTTTTGTATACTGAGGCAGGTGGGAAGATAAAGTAAACAATGAAAAGATATTAAGGACATTAAGTTTATATAATGTATAATAAATAAAATATATTTCTTCAATATTTATATAAGAAGAAACAGACTTTGATATATAACAAAATCAATCAAGGGACTTAAATCTTTATATAATACATTTATTTATTCAATTACAATTAAGCCCTAAAAGAAAATTACATATGTTCAAAAGGCACAGAGAAATTTAAATCAAAGTCTTATTATTCTTAAGAGATTCATAAGTTTGAAGCCAGAGACAACACTGCGTATGAGTAATAAATTATTAAATTAAAACGTTTAAGGTTTGAAGTCATTTAAAGTAGAACTAAGTGTTTTGTTAAGTTCATAAATCACAAAAGTAAGGGGAAAATTATTTAAAAGCTTAACTTTAAACTGTAGTGAAATAAAAAAATCTATAAACATAGATTTTAATGTAGTATTCGTTAGCACCTTTCCCTATTTTAATACAATCTCTTCCCAAATCAAAATCTGGCTCATTTCCCATAATAAATATGGTACATTTTTACTGACAGTGAAATCAAATTTAACACTCTCATTTTTCCGAACAATCGAGCCACATTTCTCAATTACTTCGATTAGATAGAGGCACTAAATCGAATAATCGCCTTATCAGTTATCGATTTACAAAAAAATATATATTACAAAATTGTATTTTGAGTGAGCGGAAAATGCGTGCAGCCAGAGGAGAGATAAACACAACAATAACACACACACACACCACACACTCGCACACACCAAGCTCGCACACACTCGAGTGTGCCGAACACGCACACAACAGCGACAACAGAGATGGATTGTAATAAATTTATGCAAAATGAAAAACAAAAACATGGGATTACCGTTTAAAATTAGCAGAGCTTACTGCCGACGTTGTTGTATTTTATTTATTATTATTATTTATGTTTTTTGTTTTTTGTTGCTGCCTCTGGGTGCGTGAGTTGAGAGCTTTTTACTGGTTTTATTCTTTTACTTTTGCAGCAAACATGCACGCACACACACCGGAAATGATTGGGTTGTATCGAATTGGTTCGATTACAATTGGTTTTTGATTTTCGATATTCGATTTCTGGTTCGTTTGATTGACTTCGATTTCGAGACCGTTAGACTTAGACGTCGGCCGTAGATGTTTGATGCCCGAATGCGCGTACGCGACTTCTGGCGCTACTATATATATGCCTATACTCGTAGGAATTGGCTAAGCTCGGTCACACACACACACACACACCCTGACACACACACACACACTCTTGGAGGGGCGCACAATCTAGTTTATTTGCACGGTTGTTTGAACTCGGCAGTCCGACGAACTAACTGTGTGTTTTGTGTTTGCCCGCGGTTATATATTCCGTTCTGATCACGATCACTTCGTCCGTCAGTCGCCGGTGGCTGCAGAATCTGAACTGGAAGCCCGGGGAATCCGAACTAAATCAGCCTCGGATTTGGGTCTCCGGATCGGACTGATGAGCGCGAACTGAGACCACGAAAAAAAGCCCCCACAGCTTTGGTTTTTCACATCCCTTTGAGTGTCCCCCGAGCCGTAGAGTCTCTGATTCCAAGTCCGAGCTTCAGATTGGCATAAAATCTTAGTAAGCTCAAAAAGCAATAACTTTTATATAGAATTTAAAAATTTTCCCCTCAAAATGCTTCTTGATATCTCTGAAATTTTCCAGCAAATGTGAAATTTTTGGAAATATTTCCCATCAAAACTTGAGGTGGAAAATATTTTGAAATGATCAGAGCTGGGGAAAGCTTTTCTTTAGCGATACTTCGATATATGCAAGCTTTTCTCTGCCTAAAACTGCAGTCTCTAAGCCATACAAAAGGCTTTCCTATATAGAAAGTATTATAGTTAATACATTTTCAAAGCATCAACATTTTCTTATTAATATAAATACAAATATAACATTCCTTCAAAAAAAAAGCTTATAAAAAGTTTGACTTTATAATAAGCCATTGATTGAGCTTGTTTTCTATCAGGTTTTCCCTGATCAGTTATGAATAAATTTGAAAGTGATACATTTGCGTCAACAATCTTATAAATGCAATATTATTAATTCTACGATAAAACGTCACTAAAATCAATAGAATTAAATTAATATTAAAATTATTCAGTGTGAGAATTAGTTCAGAGTGTCTGGAAAATACTTAAAAATCCAATTTGCGCATCAATATTGGCAAAATCTCATGGGAAAAGCATCAGTCAACATTATTTTCCAATCAGTTTATAATTGCTTTCAGGCATCGCGTAACCAATTCGAATGCGAACTTAAATTTGAAATAATTTCGCACTTAATAAACTCATAAAAAACATTGCAAGTGCAAATCTATAAATATTCAATTACGCCTGGGAACTGGATAGCTTACTCTAAATCATGGAGAGTTCATACTTTCCCCTCTCACATCGAACTCTTAATTTATTCGCGAATATTTTAGATAAGAAAAATTAAATATTAAGATTTCCTTGTTAAGAAATAAATTCAATAAGCTACGTTTTGACAGTTGAAAGATTTATCATGCAATTGAAATGAATTTCCCAGACATTCGGTATATAAAATACAAGCAATCCGCACTCTGTGAGCGTGATTTTTTATTTGATTAGATTTCCACGGATGTTTATGGGTCTATAGTGATTTTCTTTGTATGATTATCACAGATCAGGCGTCACAGATATATTTCCTTAATTCTAATGTCTATTTATGGTTCAACCTTGAAAACGCTATTGAGCGATTATTTTGCCAAAATAAACTGAAGTGCCTGGTGTCTGGGTCTTTATCTCTATCTCAATATTTTATCAGTGGGAAAATTGAAATAACCAGGGAAAGTTGCCATAAGTTTGCCACGAGAGTTCGTTAATTAGTAATTTCATTCATAAAATAATATTTAAATTAGTAACAACCAATAATTAGTAGTAAACAGCTGCATATATGAATAATATATTAATTTTAAGAGGAATATGGTAGTTTTGATGGCTATTATTTTAATACAAAGCTATAAATTATTATTTACATTTATTGCATCATAAGTTATACATTTTATTGGGTAAACAGAATATTCAAAGATGTTTACAAAGGAAGTTGCTCTATAAACTACTTCATTATTTCACAATTCACACATTTCTATGGAAAAATAACCACTATTAAGTATAATCTTTTGATTCTTGTTAGAAATTGCCAAACTATAGGTTTATCTTACCTATGTCCAGATAGCCACTATCAAATTGGTAATACAATTGAGAAACTTTGGGAGCCTACTGATACGTTTTTAAAGCCGGTCACGATATAACTAACCTACCACAAAAATCAACTAGATCCAACTAGAGATATTTTTCGCAGAAATTCGCTTTTGCTTTTTATATTTTGTATATATTTTTAAAATCCGAAATATTCCAATGTCAACAGAGCCAGGTCAGAGCTATGCAAATGACCAGCGTCTAATATCATCGAAAAATCCACCAAGTCACTGGATTATTTATTAATTTTATTAATTAGTCCAAGCAATATTTACATATGTGTCTCTTGAATGCGTTTCCGCTTCGAACTCGTGTTGATCACAGACTGAACTGATTCGTTGCCAAATATTTGGACCTTTCGTCAGGCGTCCAACTCGACGGCGAAGCGTTATCGCCGCCAAAACTGATAAGGTCCGATCCGAAAGGAAGGTATTATTATGGGTCCATTCCACTCCCTCGAGCTCGAGCTGTTTGACTAGCCTCTATTTCACTTCGGTAGTTTAACGATTAGAATTTAATGTAAATATCGCTCGAAAACGGGCTTTTCTTGCGTATTTTTCCGCCATTATCGCATAATCTTTTCGATTCGCCTTCTCAGCCATTAATGTCAGATGCCTGAAAAGACTGCTATCGGAGGAGGGCATTGCGAAAACACAGACATAAAGGCCAATCAGGCGGCGTTGCCGGGTCGTAAAGATCGAACAATGACTGCCTCGGCTCTACGATGCTAAGATTCTTCGATTCTACAATTCTTCGGGTCTAAGATTCTTTAATTCTACGATTTCTACAAGTGTGCGCCGCGTCCTAAGGTGTTTCGTTTTTCGTGCGACTTAAGTCGCGTGCAAGTCGCTAGCGGTTTTAGTGCGTTTTTGGTTGCCTTGCATTTTTCCCATAATTAAAATTGAACCCTTTTCTTAGGGATTAAAAGCAATATTTATAGTTTATTGTAAATATCATAAAGTTAAAAGTTAAAAGTAATACAAATTATAGGTAGGTAGGTTGCAGTGGTGAGGCCCAAGGCTGGGGCCTCCAATTAGAGCTTAGCTCCTTTTTGATCCACACCCTCTGTTTCTTTTTTGTTGTAATACACTATCAGTACCATCCAGAGTCAGCAAGGAAACCTAGGATTGCCGAAACTTTCAGCTTTCCTATGTTTCTCAGTGACTCCATCTGGTAGGCACCGAAGTGGCGAAATCTGATGTGGTTTAGCGCTGGGCAGAAGCATAGCAGATGTTCCGGTGTCTCTTGCTCTGTAGGTTGCTTACAGCTTCTACAGATTGCGTTGTATGGCAGTCCCAGCTTCATTGCGTGCGAACCGATCGCCCAATGTCCCGTGGTGAGTGCCGTGAACCTACTGATATCCCGCTTGCTGTTGGATAGCAGTTCCCTGGTTCGTTTTTCGTCGTACCTCGGCCAGCATTCCCTTGACCTTCTGTGATCACTCTTGCTTTGCCATTCTTTATTGGCTATCTGCCTAAAGTGGTCATGGATCCTCGTCTGGATCGCGTTTAGGGAGATCGGTAATTCGAAGTCAGAACTTAGCCCTGCCGAGCCTGCACGGGCTAGTTCGTCCGCCTTCTCATTTCCTGGGATCTCGTTGTGTCCCGGTACCCAAGTTACTTGTACCTTATTTTTGTCGGCAAGTCTATTAAGGGCCTTCTTGCATTCTGCCACAAGTCGTGAATTCGTTTTCACGGCAGATAGGGATTTTATAGCCGCTTGGCTATCCGAGTAGATTCGAACTCTATTGCCCCTGAGGTCCTGCCTTAAGGAAAGTTCGACTGCTTCCCTTATGGCTAGTAACTCAGCCTGAAAGACCGTCGCTGAGTTAGAGAGATTGAAGGCCTGTTCAATTCTCCAATTTTCAGCGAAGATCCCAGCCCCTACGCCGCAGCTCATTTTTGAGCCATCGGTGTAGAGGGACACCTCGTTCTCCTCTACCACTCTGCCCCTACTCCAGTCTTCCCTTGATGGGTATGATGTCGAGAATGCATTCCCGAATTTCATTTCCGCGATCATGTAGTCGGTCTTAACGTCTGTGTTAATGCCACTGTTTGCAAGGATCTTGCCGTGCCCGGCGCCGTAGTCCCTCCAGCAATTGCTCGCCTTCAGTCTTACTGCGCTCTGTGCCGCAGTGTCCTTCACGAACAGTTCTATCGGCATTATATGCAGGATGGCGTTGAGAGCAGCCGCGGGGCATGAGCGCATTGCACCCACTGCCCCCGCACTCGCTGCCCGTTGCATCCGTGTCAGCTTCGTTCTGTTGTAAGCCCTAGTTAGTGCCGGCCACCATACTAGGGCTCCGTATGTAAGAATTGGTCTTACCACTGCAGTGTAGAGCCATAAAATTATCTTTGGGTGCAGTCCCCATTTGTTTCCAAACATTTTCCTGCAGGAGTAGAATGCGATGCTTGCTTTCCTTACTCTTTCTGCAATGTTATCTTTCCATAAGAGCTTTTTATCCAGGATAACTCCTAGATACTTCGCTCGCTCCGATAGTTTCAGCTCCATGCCATTAATACTGGGCATGTTGAAGGGTGGTATCTTAGTTCTTCGCGTGAAGAGCATAAGTTCCGTTTTAGTGGGGTTGATACCTAGTCCGCAGGTTTTTGCCCATTTGTTTAGTCGACCTAGCGCACCCGTCATTATTTCGCTAATAACGTCAGGGTATGGTCCTGAAACGAGCAGTACTACGTCGTCCGCGTAGGCAACTGCTTTGACTCCACCCGTATTGAGGTCTGTCAATATGGCGTTCATATTTGTGAGCCAGAGTAGGGGCGATAGTACCCCGCCCTGAGGTGTGCCTCTCTTCACAGTCCGTGTGAGGTGAGTGCCACTCAGTTCGGCTGTGATCGTCCTGCTCTTTAGCATGACTCCGATCCACTCTCTGATGCC